CAGGCTATGGATAGCATTGTGAAGAGTGAGTATTCCAATGCATTTAGTTGTGCTTGTGAGGAGCCTTTATATGTACAGGGGTGGGGTGGGGTGGGGGTAGGGGTAGACAGTTATTCAAGTTTTAGAATGAAACAGTAGGGATACTGTATGGTTTAGAATCAGAAGGGGTGTTGTTGTTGTTAAGTGCCGTCGAGTCAGAAGGGGTGTGCCAGGATTGTATTCTTTCACAATACTTGTTCAGTCTGTATGCTGGGTGGAACTCATCCAGGAAGCTGGATTGTATGAAGAGGAGTGTGGCATCGGATTAAAGGAAGACTCATTGATCAACTATAATCGGCAGATGATACAGTGTTTGCATTTAAACCCAGAAAGGAAAATCGTTCAGTGTATGTGGTTGCTGAGAGACCAAAAAAGCAACCAGGAGTCAGTCCGAGAGATATTTGTTTATCATAGAAAAGAAAAGAAAACATTTACAAACAGGGAAACTTAATAACCAGGATGAGAACAGCAGCTGTTTCCAGAGGTAGCCAGATGGACAGTCAAGATTTTCTGTGTGAGGGGCATGAACTAGGGCCTTTTTATTTCGTGGGGTATACAAGCTTCATGTGCCAGGAAAATTAAGCATGGCATGTGAAACATAGAAAAGACAGGAAAACCACAAGGTATTGAGTTGTCTGCTTCTTCCTAGAGCACAAAGAGTTTCAGTATGCATAGTCAGAGGAGGGAGCTGTCTGCTCCTTCCTAGCATATGTATAACCAAAGCATGAGAACAAAGAATTTTGGTATGTATAGCTGGAGCAAGGAGAAGGGATAAGAGATATGGTTTAAATTGACACTAGGGTGACCATATTGGAGTATTTGCATTCTACTTCTACATACTGACTCACTTGCTGGAAGTGAAGAGGACTTAAAATGCTAGATGATGAAGATTGATGACTGTAGTGTCACAGCTAGACTGGTAAATTACATTATGATGAAAAGAGAAGAGATTAAAGTTGTTGGGAATTTTGCTTAGATTGATGTTCAACACTCCTATAAGTAACCGTCAAAAAAATCAAAAGACATATTTCATTGGGAAGGTCTGCTGCACAAGACCTCTTTAAAGTGTTCAGGAGCAAGAATGTCTGTTTAGGAACTAAGGCGTGCTTGATCCAAGCCACGGTATTTTCAATAGCATCATATGCATATGAAAGTTGACAATGATTCAGGAAGACCTAAGAAGAACTGATGCATTTGAGTTATGGTACTGGAATATTGAAGGTACCATGAGCTGCCAGAGGAGCAGGCAGATCCGTATTGACAGACGTGCAACCAGAGTGCTTCTTGGTAGTCTGGATGGTGAGACTTTGTCCCATACTTCAGGCATGTTGTTAGGTGGAACCAATCCTTAAACAGGGTGTCATGCTTAGTAGAGTAGAAGGTCAGTGAAGGACCAAGCAAGATGGATTGGCATGGTGGTTACAGCAGTGGGATCAAGCATAACCACAACATGACCAAATCATGGAAAACACCACCACAGAAGGTGAAGAAAATCATCACACCTGAAGATCTCAAGAGAGTAGTTGGCTGGAGATTCTGAACTCACCAAGTAAAATGAAAGCTGCACACCAACCAACTAGAAAAACTAAGACGAAGAACTGCACCCTAAAGAAGACCCTGAGAAAACCTTGTCAACAGACGAATCTAACTTGGGACCAAGTGCTTCCCTTAACCCTACTCAGGCTCAGAGTTGACCCTAGAAGCAAGCTCAAATTGAGCCTGATGAAGTGACATATGGGAGACTATTCCTAAAACGCTAATGTGAATTGCTGTGAGCCCTTGGGCCCCACCTTGTTGTTGTTAAGTTCTGTCATGTCGGTTCTGACTCCTGGAGACCCTGTGTAGGGTTCCCAAAGTTGTGAATCTTTGGAAGAGCATAAAGTCTCATCTTTCTACAGCAGCTGGTGGGTTCAAATCCCTGACCTTGTAGCTCACAGTCCAATGCTTATCCTCTAGAGCCACAATGCCCCACCTTAAAGACCATTAATCAATTTCTTTCTGACTGTCTTTCCCCTAGGATACTCCTCTCCATAGGTACTCCATGGGAGATGTTAAACTATTTAAGGTGTAGAAGGACCAGCAACCATGAGAAGGATACTAAGTCGACTCCTTCACTTACTCCTTCAGAACTAGGCTCAAGTATAAATTTATTGAGATAAGATAGCTTGTTTATTAGCTTTTAACCTAATTTCATGGTTTTCATCTTAAAAAATCATCTTAGAGGAAAGAAAACCCCTTTTGTCCTACAAGTAGAGGGTTCTCTCCCTGACCAGGTTGGGGATGCTCTAGTCCTTCCATGTTTAATGATGGGGTCCTTACTCCTGTGGAACCAGTTAAATAGTACAATAAGACTGGGGAACTAGGGTATTGCTAAAAATGTCATTTGGGATTTCAGATAACCTTGAACCAGCAAAAAGACCTCATGGTTGATACCAACCGAAGATACAACAAAGACTTCTCCATTACCTGGTTGACCAGCAGTACTGCAAGACCTGGGGACTCCTGGGCCCAGAGTCAATGACATAGCCACAAGAACTAGAGTGAAGAGTAAAGTGTTCAGTTGATAAGAATTGAGGGCATATGCATAAGAACACCCACATTTGTAGAAAATACCCACTTGACCTGGCTTCAATGACTGGACAATCAGAGCTCAACTAGAAGAAAATATAAGAGGGGGGATAAAAAGAGTAATCTGATACAATCTGATGAACTTGACCTATACCTATGGATCATTCCCACCCCCTCGATACACATGGTAGACAGGGATGGACAACTTGGACATTGGCTACCCAAATGGGAGGCTACAAAGGCAAGAAGTGACTGGTTTACAAGCTTTCAAGAGGGAGCCTAGATCCAGAGGTTGTGGAGGAAGGTAGAATCTCCACTGAGTAGTATCCAATCTGTCTGGATGGGGCTGATGAAAGGAGATGGGGATAGGACTCTTGTGGTATAATAGTGAATAATTGCTATCAAGACTGACTGTGAGGGTTGGAAATGTAAAGGTAGACATTTTGTAGCAAAAGGAGGGGAGTGGTTAACTTTGCAGTCCAGGAGAGGAGGTCCCTGGGACCATCAAGGGAGAAGAGCAGAGTGCGGGACCCTACCCAGAAAAACAGTGACACCAGAGATGAAGGCAGAGACGATGATGTGGAGAGATAGAGCAGCTGGGGAGTCTAGACCCAGAGAAGGAGAGGGGCTATGTGCTGATGACCAGGGAGCAGGCTTGCGGGGTATATCCTTTGGTTGTTTGATAATGCATGGAGGGGATTGTAACCATGGCAATGAAACGATATATGAAAGGATGAATGTTAAGCTAACTTCTCTCATCTCCTATGTAAATTAGCACATAATTCACAAAAAAACATTTAAAAGAAATTTCTCCACTCACATTCTGGACTTGTCTTCTTTAGATGCTGTAACTTATTATTGTGTAAAATATGAGAAAACTCAAGACCAAGATAATGAAATTACTTGAGAAGAGAAGCTCTCAAACCCACCCATCATATTCCCATATCTCCAAGGTCAGACAAAAAGAAATACCGGTGACAATGCAATTAGTGAGCTGGGAGGATATAACCCCATTATAGAAGAAAGGGGATCTGGGTAGTGGTTCCTCCAAACTGCCATCCCAGAGCTAGAAGCTTGTCAAATGGAAATGACCACATGCAACTTGTACAGGGAAAGCTGAACCCACCTTAGGTTTCTGGCTGACTCCCCTACTTAAAATAGGAATCATAATATTACCAATTTGTCCATTTGTCCCCTAGTTAGAAAAGATAGCTGCTTAGAGAACAGCTAGCACTGTTGAGGTGAGTGAAGTTTTCGCCCTGCTAGAGAACATAGTCCCTCTACTTCAGAAACAGAAGATGTCTACCAACTAATCCAATGGGATGTCTCCAATTTTTATCACTCAGTCCACCCCCCACTCCCAGATTATGCTAAACTGTATTTAAAGTATCTCATCCCACAGCACCATCGTTCAGCAGGAAGTAGCGTAAGAACGAGAGACAGATCTTGTTTCCCAAGACTGAGAAACTAACAACAAAAAGAGGAATTGAAATGAGGCACTGAGAACCCCTAAGGTGTTATAAGAGATTTTTGCCGGACCAAAGCAAAATAATAGAAGGAGGCCCTGGATGGCCATCCCACCATCATAATACAATAGTTTTCTCTAAAAATAATCAGTTCTTTTTCTTTAATTAGTAGTCAAATCCTACCCTGAGAAAGGCCTATTGCAGGATCTGAAACCACCATACATCTTTGATGGCCACCTGGAGAGATGAATGACTCAGGCTAGAGACAGCTTGGTTAGAGAGAGCAACAGAACCTTGAATGAACAGACAATGGAGAGTTCCTGAAATCCCTTGGGGAGGAGAGGAGGACAGGATCCTACCTCATACCCAAAATTTCTATAAAAACTCCCACCCCTTTTGTTTAAAAAGACAAATCTAAGAAAATTTCCCCTGTTCTCCTGAATATCAATTTTCAGTAAATTGTCTGAGTCTTGTCTCTGAATATTGGCTCTACCAGTGACAGATGATAAAGAGCCTTTTTTATGGTAACAGAGTTGATTCCAACTCATGGCAACCCTGTATGTGTCACAGTACAACTGTGCTCCATAGGGTTTACAATGAAGTGGAGCACTAGATCCTCCTTCTGAGGCATCTCTAAGTGGATTTGAACCTCTAACAGTTCTCTTTGTAGTCAAGTGCATTTAATCACTGCACCATCCAGGAATTTCTTGCTTTGAATTACTCATTGCCATGGAGTTGATTTCTACTCATATCAACCCTATAAGGCTGAGAAGAACTGCCCCATAGGGTTTTCAAGTCTGTAATATTTATGGAAGCAGACAGCCACAGTTTACTTCTGCAGAGGAAACCACTGACATTTCAATTAACAGTTGAGCTCTTAACTACTATGTCACCAGGCCTCCTTTTATATTCAATATAAAATAGTACCAGAAAACTTTCCACCGCTGAAAGTCATTGGAAAACCAGATGCTCCTCCAGCAAAATCACTCATCATAAGAGCCGTTTTCACAGGCAGTTTTCCCCCATTGGGTCTAGTGCAGTCCACTGTATTGAGTATCTTATGACCTGTGGAGAATCAAAGAGGGATGAGTATTCAAAGGGAAGTCTCAAAAACTGTGGCTTGAATCCCTAAACCTATACAGATGGTAGACTGTAAAATCTAATATCTGTAAATAGAAGAACTGCTTATGTCCAAGAAAAAGAAAAGAGAATAAGACATAAAAAAAAGAAAGAAAGAAAAAAGACATCTTTAAGAACATATTTTGAATTTTTAAGTGTACAAATTCATCTTGTTTGACTTGGTGAGTTATAGGTGTCACACAGGGACAGTTAATTTGGTTCCATTCCAGGATTATACAGAGACTGAATTCTTAAACTCAGCCAACTGTCTCCAAACATTGAGTCCAAAGGGTACAGAGAAGAGAGTGACTGGATCAACACAAATTCTTCCAAACTTTTACCAATTCAATACAAAGCTCATACCTAACTGATTGTTGGATCAGTAAGGCCACCTTCTCACATGAAGGGCAGATGTATATAGAATACTATCATATAATATAAAGTAATATTCAATGAAGGTATTGTTGTTAAGTGCCATCAAGTTGGTTCCAATTCATAGTGACCCTCTATAGTGTTTCCAAGGAATAGGTGGCAAGTTTGAACTGCTGACTTTGTGGTTCAAACTGACCTTGAGGTCTAGTGCTTTATCCCACAGAGTCACACTAGAACTCCAATAAAGGTAGGTTTGAATATGAGATATATGTTGCCTAATGAGAAAAGCTTTGCACCTATCACTACAGACTATAATACCAGCAATTTATTCTCTGCAAAGATTATCTAACTGATAGCCCATTTTTCTAAGACAGGAATATAGTTCACTATATTCTTTGAGGAGTCCTGGTGTGGATAAGCAGTGGACTGCTAACTGCAAAGTAGGTGGTTCAAACCCACCAACTGCTCCTTGAAAGCCCTATACAAGGTTGCTATGAGTTGAAAATGAACAGATGGCAATTAACAACAATATATTCTATGAAGCTAAAGACAAAAGAGAACAATGACCACAGGATGAAATTTTGGATAGCTATTACTATCGTTTTTACCAACAAAAGTTTTGTTTGTCATTATTGATGAGAAGAAAATACCTTTGTACTCCACAATAATGCAAGTATCCATCTCCGGATGAACACCATCCATCAAGATCATGAATCGAAGATTCTTATCCACCTGAGATTTAACAATAAACCCAACAACATGACAGCTTGGTTTGCATTCAAGACTTGATAAGTTCCCCAGCACCAACTTTCATCCAAACGACAGACCTATAAAGTGTGAGGTGTTGGGCTGCTAACTAGGTAAAAATGTACAGCCTTGGTTATCCTCTATAGGGTCACTATAACTCACAATTGACTGCATAGCAGTGAGTTTATAAAGTGAACAATAACACCAGGCAGGAACAAACTCCTCAGAACAATTAGCCACCTGAGAACACAAGGGTAGCATTAGCCCCAAAACAAAACTCAGAAGGCAGGAAGGGGCAGGAATGAAGAACAAATGGAAATGGGGAACACTGGAAAGAAGCGGGAAGAGTGCTGTTACACTGTGGGGACCACAACTAATGTCATGAAACAATGTGTATGAATTATTGAAAGGAAAACTAATGTGTTCTGTAAATTTTCAGCCAAACCACAATAAAAATAAATAAATAGAAATTTAAAAGCCAGGATAAATCTTCTGCAGAGACTGGTAAGTTAGTAACTTAAATTTGAAGAAATTCCCCTCATTTAGAATTAGATTTGATAGTCTGTCCCATGATAAGTACCTGACTACAATGTCAGTTTAAACTGAAACACCAATGATTCAAATCCACCAGTCTCTCTGTGGAAACCCTATATAGGGTCTCTATGAGTTGGAACCAACTTAATGGCACTTAACGACAGTTATACTACGGTTAAATGAAAAGAAAAACATCTTTACCAAGGACAGTTCTACCCACCATTTAGAGTTCAAAAAAACAGTTGTATTTACACAGTACCAAGTAAAGGTAAAATTGGCCATTGTTTCCTTCATTTTAAAGCAACTACCTCACCTGAAATCCACCCTGGAAAGTAAAATTGGAAAGTGTGGGGGGAAAAAACCCAAGATATCTGACCTGCTGCCATATTCCAAATGGCACAACATTAATATTTGTCAACAGGACACCACTCTGAGTCAGATTCCAAAATACAGGTCTTTCCGTGTTTCCAACATAAATGGGAATATCTGGTCTTCTCTCGGCAAGCTTCTTCAGTGTGGGGTAGCTAGGATCAGGCAGATGGAATGATTGAAAGGTGAAAAAAAAAAAAAAAGGATTATTTAGTACAAGAGACTGTTTGCTCCTTAAACCAACATGTTATCTAAGAAGAAAGGAACTATAAAAACAGATTCTGACCCAAATCTAGAACAGGTTCTACTCAAGAGTGCCTGTAATGGCAAAAAGAGTTTTCTAGAAGATTACTCTTTATCATTAGAAGATATCATATGCCATGCCATGTAAACATCAACCAAGGGTACAAGTTCCATCTACTACACTGATGCTGCTTTGAGTAGGAGTCGTTTTAACAGAAGGTGCAAAATGGAAAAGACAGACTGCAGAAGTTGTGAATAGGTGAAGAGTGTCACAATCTCCATTTCTTTTCACTCCTCAATCAGCATCTCTCAATGAGACAAGGCTGGACCATAGCACTGGATAAGGAGATTCCATGGGTCAGGGTTTTCCAGCCTCCCAAGGCTGGCAGCCACACTTCAAAGTTTGATCGACAAATAATGTGTCCTTTGTCCTTAAGGAAGGTCAGAGCTTACCAGTTAGAAAGGCTATACAATGTAGAGGAAAACTACAATCAACCATCACACAATCAATTGCACAAATATTTTTTAATATTATACCTTAACTTCTAAGGAGTTCTGATAGCATAATGGTTATGAGTCAGGCTTTTAATCTCAAGGTCAAACTGATTACCTTTGCTCTTGCACACTTTTAAAAGGTCTTGTGCAGTCGATTTTCCTAATGCAATACATCCTTTGATTTCTTAACTGCTGATTACAAGAGCATTGATTGTGGATTCAAGCAAAATGAAGTCTTTAGCAACTCCAATCTCTTCTCCATTTATCATGATATTTTTCATTGGTCCAGTTGTGAGGATTTTTGTTTGCTTTGCATTGAGGTTAAATGCATATTGAAGACTATGATCTTTGATCTTGATCAGTAAGTATTTTGAGTCCTCTTTGCTTCCAGCAAACAAATTTTTGTCATCTGCACATTGGAGGTTGAGTCTTCCTCCAGTTACAAAGCCGTGTTCTTCTTCATATACTCTAGTTTCTCAGATTATTTGCTCAACCTAAGGAATAATTAAGTATGGTGAAAAGGGATACAACCCTGGCAAACATCTTTCTTGATTTTCAATCATTCAATATCCCCCTGTTCTGTTTGAATGACTATGCACAGATTCCTCATGAGCACAATTAAGTGTTCTAGAATACCCATTCTTTGCAGTGCTACCCATAGCTTGTCATGATTCACACAGTTGAAAGCCTTTGCATAGTCATTAAAGCATAACTAAACATCTTTCTGATGTTCTCTACTTTCAGCCAAGATCCACCTGACATCAGCAATAATATTTCTCATTACACATCATTTTTCTGAATTGGGTTTGCATTTCTGTTATTGTTTCCTGTTAATGCTCTATTGAACTTCTTTTTTAAACTATCTTCAGCAAACTTTTACTTGCATGTGATATTAATGAGATTGTTAGGTGATTCCACATTCCATTGGGTCACCTCTCTTTGAAATGGATATAAATATGGATCCCTTCCAATTGGAGGACCAGATAGCTGTCCTCCAAATTTCTTGGCATGGATGAATGAGTGCCTCCAGTACTTAATCAGCTTGTTGAAATATTTCAACATGTGTTCAATCAATTCCTAGAGGTTCATTTTTGCTCAATGTTTTCAGTGCACCTTGTCCTTTTTCCTTCATTAACCATTAGTTCTTCGTCATATGCTTTATCTTTAAATGTTTAAACATTGAACATTGCTTTTTGGCACAGTGACTCTGTGTATACCTTCCGTCTTATTTTGATGCTTTCTGAATCATTCAATCTTTTGCCCATAGAGAAATTATGTAGAGGCTGGTGATTTTTTTTTTTTTTTAATGGTTAACTGAGTGATAGTTTACATGGGAGAATATTGGATTTACATCACCATTTCATTGCAATGATTACAATCTCCTCTATGCATTATCATTCAACAGTATTTGCTTCCATTCCCTCTGTTTTTCTTTATTTGGGGGGTTGGGGGTTGGGGTGGGGAGATGTACACAAAAACACTCAGGAATATATAATAATTTGAACAACCAAAGGACATATTCTGCAAGCATGCCTCTTGGCCACCAGCACTCAGTCCCTCTCTTTCCATGAGTCCAGAGTCCTCAAATACTCCCTCTTTCCATGTCTTCATCTCTGCCTTGCCTCCTTCTCTGGTGTCTCTGTTTCTTTGGATAGGGTCCCACATTCCGCTTGTGCTCTTCTCCCTTGATGGTCCTAGGATCCTCTGTTTCTGGACTGTAAGATTAAATACCCTCTCCCCTTTTGTTACAAAACTTCTACCTTTACAATTGTGACATGAAAGCAGTTAGCAATTAGTCATGACAACATTTACTCTCTATTGAATCATAAGAATCTTATCCCCATCTCATTTCACCAGACCCATCTAGAGAATATGAAAACTTCATTCAGTGGGAATTCTATCTTCCCCTGAACACTCTTAACTAAACTCCCTCTTGAAAACATGTAAGCTAGTCACTTTGTGCCTTTATCACCCCCTCATTTTAGGTAGCCAATGTCTAAGTTGCCCATCCCTGTCTACCCTGTATATAGAGGGGATAGGATTGATACTTGATGTGAAGACTCCTCCCCTTTCAATTGGTATTTTGAGCTACTACATCCATGAGTATAGGTCAAGTTCATCAAACTGTAGCAGTTTACTCTCGTTTCCTTTATCAAAAATTATGTTTTTTTATCTTTCTCTAGTTGAGTTCTGGAGTCCTGGTGTGGCACTGTGGGTTAATGTGACAGACTGCAAATCCATTTGAACTTCAAGGTTGGCGATTCAAGCTCACCAGCTGCTTCTCAGAAACTCTGTATTGGGTTGCTATGGGTTGGAATTGACTCAACAGAACTTAACAACAACAATAGTCGAGTTCTGATTATCAAGCCATCGAGGCTAGGTCAAATGGGTATTGTCTGCAACTTTGGGTGTTCTTGTGTGTCTCCCCTTACTTCATATCAGCTGGATGCTTCACTCTCAGCTCTAGCCCTCCATAGCTATGTCCTTGTCCATGAGGTCAGATGTCTCCAGGTCTCACCACACTTTGGACCAACCAGTCCTTCCTCTTCTCTCTCTCATCTCCAGGTCAATGGGAGTCTATGGAATATGGTTGAACTCAGCCCATTTCTTCATTGCTGACTTTCCCCCTCTTCCACTCACCAGTAGGCCAATGTGGTTGCCAGCAAGCTTACATGCCTGCTCATTTGTTTCCTTTGAGTTTCAGTCTTGGAGGGGGGTTTGTCCTGAAGGGACTTGATTGCTTGCCTTGATGGCTTCCCAGCAAATAACTTGCTTATTCTTGTAGTAGCAAATCATATTGCCATTTTTGTTTGGGGTTTTTCCTGCAGATCTTCCTTTGAAGATGTATCTTCTGCTCCTCTAGCTGTTCCAGATTGGTCTGCTTGTCCTTTCTAGTATGAATGTCCCACCTCAGAAGGTTCTGGATGAGACTCAGGATCCCACCTAAGTTGCTATATACACTGCAAAGACTCCGTAAGAAACCTATTTCACTGGGCAAGTTCTAGGACCCTTTTAGGTATTCCAATCAATTATAGGCTGAAGACGAGTTTACAAGCTTTCTGAAGTCATGTTTCCCAACATTCCTTTCTATCCCACTGAAGTGTCTATTTTACAATAGTAGGCAAAGGAAACCAATATTCATAAGACAGGCAAGCATTTTGGTATTATTTCCCCTCTTCAGACTATGAGGCTTGTGATTTTTAAAGAGCAGTTTGGTAGATTAGTTCAGTGCCTGACATTTCATTAATGTTAATGTGGTAATTGTAACTGGAGAGGTCCTCTATCCAGTACTCCTATTATTAGATCAGGATATTTAAATTTTTTATTTCTTGACCTCCTTGAGATATCATGGAGGGACTTCAGGGTTATTCTGACTTTGAATACATAGTTTGTGTGAACATGTAATTAATTTTTTACAGAGAAAACATCCACAATTTTCACAGATCTTCTATAGTACCCATGGCTAAAAAATATTCTAAATTCCTACACTAACTCTTTGGTACTGGAGTTTGGGATTTTATTTGTGATTTCCTTGAAGGGCATTTATGATTACCCTATTATTTATAAATTCAGGAAAAATACTTTTGTCTTAGATAATAACATCAGAATCACTTTGTTTGCCTATCATCACGCATGATTGAAAAAAAAAACATGAATATTACAAATTGAGGCTTGGAGTTTTTTTTTTCTGATCTTTCAATGTGAGAAATGCTGACCCTATTCTTCCCTTTTAAGGAGCTCTGGTAACGTAGCGGTTATGAATCGGGCTGTGGAACTGCAAAATCAGCAGTTCGAAACTACCAGCTGTTTCCAGGGAGAAAGATGAGGTTTTCTGTTCCCATAAAGATTTACAGCCTCGGAAACCCTGTACAGGGTCATATGAGTTGGTTCTGACTGCATGGCACATCACCTCCACCACCACCACCATTTTTCCCTTTTGAGTTTCTAACTCCAGGTCTCTGCACATTTAATTATGATAATTGAGTTTGGCTTCCTAGTAGCCCTTTGAAATTTTCTGTTCAGCTCTTTACTTCCTCATTTCTTCCATACACTTTAGTATCTCTGTGCTGGAGAGCAAGTTTTAGAGTCTCTTCTGACATTCAATTTGGTCTTTTCCTTCTTTTTTGTTTTCTTAATGACCTTTTGCTTTCTTCCTATATTTCTTCTTGAAGTCATCCCACAACTCTTCTGGTTTTCAGTCACTGATGTCTAATGCATCAGATATATTTTTGAAATGGCCTCTAAATACAGGTAGAATATTTCAAGGTTATATTTTCATTCTCTGGAATTATTTTAATTTTCTTCAGCCTCAGTCTGTTCCACAGCTGGCCCCTGACCTTGTTTTGACTGATGATATTGAGCTTTCCCACCATATCTTTCCACAGATGTAGTCAATTTGATTTCTGTGTATTCTACC